CAGAGTGCTCTTTGGAGGCCAAGATGGCCAAACTCTGTCTCTCATACTTTGGACACATTGTCAGGAGGACCAGTACCTGGAGAAGGATATCATGTTTAGTAAGGTGGAGGGTCAGACAAAAACAGGAAAACCCCCAGAGAGATGGACTGGCCACGTCAACAACAGTGAAGCTGGCCCAGGATCAGGCAGTGTTTCATTCTGCTGTGCATAAAGTCACTGAGTCAGAACCAACTCGATGGCACCTAACAACAACAACAAATGGGTCGGAACCAATTTGACAGCAATTAACAACAACAACAACAAAATAAAGATTATTACTGGGCCAAAAGGTAACATTGGAATATGGACTATATATTTGATAATAGTACTGTATTACATTTCTTGATTTTGATATAAAGCAATGTCCTTGTCTTCGTATATAAACACTGATGTATTTATGGGTAAAGAGGCATGACAGATGCAGTTTACTCCCAAATAGTTTAGAAAAAAATTTATACACACACAACTAGAGGGAGAAACAGAAAGACTGAGACTGCAAATATAGCAAAAAGTTAACGAGTGGTGAATATGCATACCCAAGTATAGGAATTCTCTGTATGATTGCAACTTTCATGAAACTTTTATATTATTTCTAGCTAAAAGTTGAATAAAAAGGAATATAAACTTGAATGATTCCTGCCTTCAAGCTTACTAAAGGAAAAGATCAAACACATTCTCCCACTACCTGCACACTCAATGCTACCAAAGACAGATGATTCTGAGATGTTTCTATTTGTCCTGTTTCTCTGGTGGTTTAGCATTCATATGGTGCTTCAATAATTTAACAAGCATGTCTCTATTACATCCACTTATAAACTGACCTAGTGGACTAAGTACAAAGCTCTGGCAAGATAACTCTGGATTCTAGTCCTCTTTGATCAGGTAGAATAATTTTTCTATCAATGAGTGAGCCAGAGGAAGTCATTCAGAAGATAATTGGATGACAAAAGATAAAGGAAATTATTGCAGGCTATTTAATTCAACAAACACGTACTAAGCTCTTATTACATAATTTGTTCTAAAACACAAAGTCCACATTGTCTAAATTGCTCATTTGAGAGAGGTTAAGAAACAATAACTATTGTCCCTTTTAATGACAATGATGAAGGCTGATTTGAATTGCATGACCACATACCTCAGTTTAATGTCTAACAAACTTAAGTAATTTTAGTGGAGAAAAGGCACAGCTTAAATGTCAAGTCTAGTATAAAGTGGCAACTGCACAGCCTGGCTTTAACTCCTTCAGTCTCAAGGACTTTATCCTTTGACTAATATGTCAATAAAGACCTAAAAGCTTGTCCTTTGATACTATTTAATTCTACCCTTAGAATTTAGATTGTATCTATACAATGTAGTTCTAGTCATCAAAGAGGAATATTGTTGAAAGCATTAAAATTGAGAGTATAAAAAATACTCTGTAAACTCTT